ATACCGGCCCCCTGCCCCTGTCCCGTGCCATTTTGGAGGAAAAAACTAATTAATTTCATTTGAGTGTCTCTAGACTTCGTGTTCTGGTAGTTTTTAATCTGTTCCCGTGGTGAGCTGGGTATGGAGGTTCGGGCTCTGAGTGGGGTGGGCAGTGCTGGCACTTCTGCAGCACCCCCGGTGTTCCCAGCCACTCACAGACTTAAGTGGGAACGACTGGGGCCACCCCCGTGTGCAGTTCCTCCTTCAGCCACCGAGTTTTGGGGCGAGTTTGAGGTGACTTTTTGAGCTTAGTTTTCTCAGCCACAAACCTGGTGTGGCTTTAGGCTTTCAGGGCTCCATTAGGCCTAGCTGTAAGTGTTTTGAGATCCTCAGACTGCTTTTAACAGCACAGTGGATTTCTTTATTATTAAAAAAAAAAAAAAAGCAAACATACCATAGAAGCTAAAAATAGGAGATAATAGTTTTTATCTAACCACAACTTTGTGCATTGTATAGAAAAGTCTTCCAACAGGACATAAGAATGAAGCGGTTCATGGCCATGTTAAACAGGGATAAAAATAAGGATCCCCCACCTGCCAAGCTGCTGGATCTAGCAGGACAGCTTTGCCAGGATCTCCAGAGCTCATTTCCTAGTCTGGAGAAGCTGGTTGGGGCCATGATGGGATGCAAACACAAGATGTATTTTCTCACTAACATCCACGTTGTCCAAGCTTGCGTGTTTGTTCATATCCAGAAAGGGCAGCATGACACAGCCTGCAGACTGCTGGAGGTAGGGATATGTTCTTTGTTTCTTCATGCAGACAAAAGAAGTATTAGAAAAACAGCAGTTAGAGCTGTTAGTGCAGAGGTATCCAAACTGCAGGACATGGAGTGTTTCCAGCTGGTGTTCAGCGGTGGAAGGTGATATTTGTACATTGGTTGACCTGAAGTGCAGGATAAAGACTTTGCTACAGGCAGTTACTATTAATCAGCCAAGGGGCAAAAGGTAATTGGGTGATTATGGGGTTGGCTGTAGTTTGTGAAAGCAGGATTTTTGTTCTCTAGTGTGATGGTTCTTTGAGTTTTTCACAAATTTTTAGGGCTCAGGATGTAAAAGTCTTGGGGAGGCCAGGTCTAGAGGGCTTGCAGGATGGGAAGATATGAGGAAGGCTGGATGGTACTATTCAAGGGGAGGAATTTTGGCCTCTAGATCTGATAATGTAGCCCTTTTCACCACAGAAGAAGAAGGAATTAGGCAACTCCTTCTGTACGTTAGAGGAAAGTACAAGAAGCCATATCCTTGGATAATGCTACCAGTTTTGTCAAGCTAGTAGGAATCTCTGAGTAAGTTTCTGACTGTTGAGGGAAGCTGGCTTTATAGGAAGTTTCTGGCTTTATAGGAAGCCTGGCTAAGTACCTGGAGAGAATTTGCTTACATACTGTTCTGGTTTTAGTGTAGCAAGGCAGAACAGAAGGAGAAGCTGGTGCAACTTTGGCATGAGATTCACTACCGGAGGGTTATGGAACAACACCACACAGATTTTCTGACACCACTGCAGAAGTTCCGCTGCAGGAAGAGGTACCACGGTGTGGGGGACTGATTTGTTTTTTCTCTGCTGTATCTGGCAGATGCAGTGGGTAGAGATGCAGAGGCTGGTTTTGCATCTCAGGATGCTGCTTCTCAGAGCTAGGTGGTTCTTGACGTTTTGACCACTTGTGGCAATGTGAATGACACTTTTGGGGTCGTTTTTTAATCCTGTTTTCTCCTGTGTACAGGAATCCTCCACCTATTTCCCTTTGTCCTGAAGGTTTGAAGAATCGAAACTATTCGGATGAAGTGCGCCAGCAACTGCACAGGTTTGCTGCAGAGGTGACAACAAATCCAAACAAGAAACAGCGGGTAGGGATATGCTACTTCTAACCAAGTCTCATCACAGAGAAGCAGAACTCTGTGATCAGGGGCCTATAACTGATTTCATTCTAAATCCTTGTTTTCTAAACCCCGATGAGGCTGGGATTCCCCAGACTTGATCTTTTCCTGAAGGTTTCCTTAGAAGAATCATCAGGTTCATGCTAAGTAATCTCACTTGCCTTGGACAAAAAGAATAGGGGAAATTAAGTTCCTTACTGAGCTTCTAACAGTTCTGATTTGGTAGTGGTTCAGCATAGGCAGCAAAACAACCATCGCTCAGAAGAGCTGTATTACAGTGATAAATAGTTCTGACTTGAGTGAGTTATAGCCTGTATTAAATTGCTTTTTTGCTTACCAGAATATATTTTATACTGCCTTATCACATTAAATTCACAGAATTTGAAAACATGATAGGCTGTATTCGTGTCTGCATCTGTCTTCCTTATTTGAACAAGGATAAATCTGTAATGGAAGTGACATGTGGATTAATTCAGTAATCCTTGTTGATTACTACCTCGCAAGGTGAAGGCTTCAGACTGTGAAGTCTGTCTCTGTGGTGCTCAATTTTTCCAGCACCTTTCTCACGTAAGGCAGGATGGCTTGGTGAATAGTTCTGCAGCGTGAAGTTGGTTTATTTCTTATCCTTTTCACAAAGCAGCAACAACTTCCAAATTATCATTAAAACCTCCCCCCCCACCCCCAATCTGAATTGGGAGCATAATGAGGTTGCATAGTTAAGTCCTAAAAGGTCAGGATACAATGATCACTTATGCATTAGTTTCTCAATACATTCTTCACTTATGTGATCTCATTCTTTAAGAGTTTAATACAGCAGAAATTTTTCTGTGAACACGATACAGATGTTTATGCTGCTTACAGTTTGTGAAAACTGTGTAATGTGCTAAATGCATTAGTGCTCATGCTATTAGTGTCATGTTAGTGATGTGAAGCTGTCATTCTGTGGGAAGA